CAGCAAGGCCACCTGCCAGCTGGGGAGCCGCCACTCGCAGTGCAGCTGGGGCGCCAGGATGCTCAGGATCATCATCTCCATGGCGTCGGCCATCTGCAGAGAGCAAGGGGACACCGTGAGGCCAGGAGGCGGCGGCCCCGCGCCTGACAGGGTGGCTGGTCCGTGACCCCAGGGAGCGTGTGGCCACCCAGTGCCCCATGAACCCAAACACCCGGGAAGCCCAGCGGTTCAGCCAGCGTGATGCCATGGCGGAACTGACAACACTCTGTGTGTTTCCCCACTTTAAAAAAAAATACTCCCCCGATGAAATGAGACAATGTTATATTTCTAAAATCTGAGAAAAACTTTTTTTTTTTTTTTAATGGTACCAGGGATTGAACCCAGAGGCGCTTAACCACTGAGCCATATCCTCAGCCCTTTTTTTAAAAAAAAATTATTTTACTTAGAGACAGGGTCTCCTTGAGTTGCTTATGGCCTCTCTAAATTGCAGAGGCTGGCTTCGAATTCACCATCCTCCTGCCTCAGCCTCCGGAACCACTGGGATTACACCTTTCAGGGACTAGACAGACAGAATCATAAGAAATAGAGTTTTAAAGCAGACTTGTACCGCCACGGGATCGCGGTGTTCTAGGAAGCTGCTCTTCAGATTAGTGAAATGACGTGGGGAAACCGACCATTAGTTTGGAAAAATACGCAGTTAGATGGCATCTCACACCAGTCACAAAAGTCCATGGCAGCTGGATTGGAGGTCTAGCTGCGCTCTTTGCCACAGCTACGGGGGGACGTTAGCGAGGGACTGTGAGCCCCTTGAACTAGAGGGCTTTTGGGGGGTGGGCTGCACTGGGGATCAACCCAGAGCCTCTGCACAGTGAGGCCAGTGACAGTCTATGTGATGATCTAGGCCACGTCCCCAGCCCATAAGCCACTTTGCCTGTTTTCCTAGGGAGCCGGCCACGGTGGACATCACCGTCTCCTAGAGGCCCTGAAGCCCTAAGGGGAGAGAGCCACTTGGTCAGCTGGGGGCTTCAGCTCTCTCTTGGGGGGTCCCTAGCCCAGAGCTGGATGGTCACTGTCACCCACAGAAGCCTCACTAAGTGGCACTCAGGCAAAGACCCTGGGAGGAGGGCACTGTGTCCGTCTTGCAGGCCAGGGGACCCGAGGTGAGCGTCGCGGGGTCTGGGAGATGCCGGTGAGCCCCTGCCCCCCGGATACTTGCCCACGCCAGGCCAGTGAGGACGGACAGCTTCCACTGAAACTTCCCAAACCCAATGGCTTCCACCGCGTCTTCCACCATGAAAGTATCTGGGAAGGAGAAGGGGAACGGAGGGAGGGTCAGCGCACCTCGCATTGGTCCCTGCATGGGGTGTCGGCGATGGTCCCCAGCCAAGCTGATGAATCGCAGCACAGGCTGCTTCCAGAACTTACCGCAGCAGAAAAAAATCCTAGCAAGTGTGAAAAGATGTTTTGCTGTTGTGACATTATTTATAGCAGGGAAAACAGAAACCCAGAATGTCCACCCGAAGAGGGCTGGTTAAATAAATTATTACATATTATATATAAATTGCTAAGTGTTCACACGATGAAATAAGACCTGTTAAAAGAATGTATAGAGCTGGGTGCCATGGCACACACCTGTATTCCCAGGGGCTTAGGAGGCTGAGGCAGGAGGATCACGAGTTCAAAGCCAGCCTCAGCAAAAGCGAGGCCCTAAGCAACTCAGTGAGACCCTGTCTCTAAATAAAATGCAAAATAGGGCTGGGGGTGGGCTCAGTGGTTGAGTTCCCCAAGTTCAACCTCCAATACCCCCCAAAAGAATGTATAGACAAAAAGATGTACATATTAATTTTTGGGGGGGGAGGATACTAGGAATGAAACCCAGGGGTCCTCTACCACTGAGCTACATCCCCAGGCTTTTTGAGACAGGATCTAACTATGTTGCTGAGGCTGTTCTTGAACTTCCGATCCTCCTGCCTCAGCCTCCCGAGTCACTGGGATTACAGGTGTCTGTCACTGGACCTGGCTCTATTAATTTTTTAAAAAAATGTTTTTAGTTGTAGATGGACACAATACCTTTATTTGATTTATTTAGTTTTTTAATCCGGTGCTGGGGATTGAACCCAGTGCCTCATGCATGCTAGGCAAGTACTCTATCCCTGAGCCACAATCCCAGCCGGGGTCTGTTAATTTTTAAAAACAAGCTGGGCAACATAATATGTGTAATAGGCATTTGACGTGGACGTAGATATCTATATATATCTACAGATATATGAAATTCTAATTTAGGGTTTTATTTTTGTCATCCTCAGATAGGGGCAGGGTAGAAGCATCAGACCCTTTACCTTTCTTCCTTTTATAATTTATTACTTACATAATCAGGAGGAAATCAATGCTTCTATTTTATTTAATTTTTTTCCGGTGCTGGGGATGGAACCCAGGGCCTCATGTGTGAGAGGTGTGTGCTCTACCGCCCGCCAAATGGTTTTCAAAAAGAAGAATTCCATCTGCACCAAGGTGGAAAGATGTCCACCCTCTGTGGCTACGTGGAAAATGCAAGCCGTGGAGGGATAGGTGCCGGAAGAGCTGGTTTGTGATAAAAATTAGGGTTTTTTTTGTGTGTGTGTGTATCTCTGTGTGTGTGTGTGTGTGTGTGTGTGTGCGTGTGTGTGACAGTGTGCATGTGTCCTGCAGGGAAAGAAAGACCGAGTGGACACTGACCAACTGTCCGCAGCGTCATCTTTGCGAACCCCCCTCACTTTCCTATTTTGGACATTTTCTTTCCATGTTATAGAAACACAGGTTATTTTTGTTCCCAGAAAGAAAAAGGAAAAAGCATAACTGATAAGCGAATAAATAAATACCCAACGATGAAGCTCAAGAGGGCATGCTGGCTGAGTCCTGGGACAAGGGGACTGGACAAGGCACGGAGAAAGTCCTCAGCTCCCACACCTCTGTCATCATCACACCATCATGGTCATCACCATCACCACCATCACCACCATCACCATCATCACCACTATCACCACCTCCATTATCATCACCATCACCATCATCACCTCCACCATCACCATCACCATCATCATCACCATCACCACCATCACCATCACCATTACTATCGCCATCATCATCACCATTATCATCACCGCCATCACTATTATCCCACCGCCACCATTATCATCACCATCATCATCACTATTGCCACCATCATCACCATTATCATCACCGCCATCACCATCATCCCACCACCATTATCACCACTACCATCACTATCACCACCATCACTACCACCACCAACATCATCATCACCATCACCATCACCATTATCATCATCACCACCTTCACCATCATCCCACTACCACCATCACCACCACCATTATCATCACCACTATCATCATCATCACTATCAGCACCATCATCACCACCACCATCTTCGAAAAGATCCCATTGCCACCATCATTGCTACTACCACCACCACCACCACCACCACCACCATCACCACCACCATTATCATCACCACTATCATTATCATCACTATCAGCACCATCATCACCATTATCATCACCACCACCATCTTCACAAAGATCCCATTGCCACCATCATTGCCACTACCACCACCACCACCACCATCACCACCATCACCACCACTATTATCATGACTATCATCTCTTACCAACGACTCATGCTGATGAGATGAACTGGGTTCAAAGGAGTTGGATACAACATTAAACTAAGAAAATGGTGAAGAAACCAGGCAACACACAGACCTGAGGGTGGGACTGCTCTGTGACCTTTGGGGTCAGCTTCCATGCTGGAAAGTGCTGGAAAAGGGGGACATGCACCTGAAATCTCTTTATTTTTATAAGGGGGGACACACAGAGGATTTTCCATAGAATATTCTACACCAAATAAGGCAGGGGATAAGGTTTCAAAGGTGGAGTCTTGCTTCGTGGTGTCCTGTGGTCAGCAGATCGACATTTTGGCAAGTCACACCCACCTCAGGTGCTGTGTGGGATCACAGGCAGAGCGAGAGGAGAGGCACTTGCATTGCGCAGCCCAATCGGCGTGCAATGCCAGACCTGTCCCCCCATATGGCTACTAGGAGCATAGCTCACACACAGCCCACGAGTGGCTCACGACAATGATCACCACTATCATCACCATCACCACCATCATCATCATCACCACCACCATTATTGCCACTACCATCATCATCACTACCATCACTATCACCATCACCACCACCACCACCACCATAATCCCATCACCACTATCATCACCATCACCACCATCATCACCACCACCATCATCACCATTATCATCACCACCACCATCATCATCCCACCATCACCATCATCATCCCACCATCACCATCATCATCCCACCATCACTATCACCTTCACCACCATCACCACCACCATCATCACTATCACTATCATCACCACCATCACCATCAACACCACCACCATTATTGCCACTACCATCATCATCACTACCATCACTATGACCATCACCACCACCACCACCACCACCATCATCCCACCATCACCATCACCACCATTATTGCCACTACCATCGTCATCACTACCATCACTATCACCATCACCATCATCATGACCACCACCACCATCATCACCACCACCATCCCCACCACCATCCCTATCACCATCCCTATCACCATTGTCCCCGTCACCATCCCCACAGCCCCACACCCCCATTGCCATCCCTGCTGCTGCCATCGTCAGCAAGTGTCATGCAGTGATGTGACGGGCAGGGATTGTGATGCGACCCTGTGCTGAAGTGAGCCACGGAGAGCAGCCTACATTCCCAGTGTCACCCCTGGGCCCTCGGTGCGCCCCCCAACTGCCCCTCCACGGAACCTTCTGAAAACACCACTTGGGGAGGCCACCAGGACTTGGGGCCCTGCCCGTGGCCCGGTCTGATGCCCGAGTGGCCTGGCTCGCTCACCGTCGGTGGGATTGGCGAACTCCTTGGGCACGGCCGCGCCATCGTCCAGCTCGACCGCCTCTAGGCCCCCCCGGACCCCTTCAATCTGGACCTCATGCTCTCCTGAGGCCGCGTCGTCCTCTGACCTCGCGCTCTCGCCCGTGCGACGGAACTTCACCACCCTAGGGAAGAGAGCAGAGCCCATCAGCATGGCCGGGCCGCGTCCCCAGTGGCCTCGCCACGCAGCCCTTGGGCCCAAGACAGGTGAGACGCCTTCCTCTCCTGATTTGGAGAGGGGAGCAGGTGGGGGGTGGCTCTTCTATTCAGCGGGGCGAAGTGAAGAAGAGTGACAACTCCCAGTTATTATACTAGGGCTGGTCAGTTGGCCAGGCTGCGCACTGCACAGTGTCAGGCTCCGTGAGACCTGAACACTGCTGAGCAGTATAGCACAGTCACACGTCGCTTCACACCGAGGACACTGCTGGGAAAGTGTCACTAGGTCACTTCCTAGTTGGGTGAACATGACAGAGAACACTCACACAGACTAACACAGATTCTGGGCGACATGCTTGCGGCACCACTGTCACATACAAAGCCCGTTGCTGGCCGAAGGGGTGACAGGCTCTGCACCATCCTGTATTTGTTTCAGAATCTGGATCCACCTGCCCCTTCATGGAACACCAGCAACAATTTGGTCACCTGAGGTTTACATGAGACCACAAAAAGTTTCTTGCAGTTTTTTTTTTAATTTAAAGTGGATGCCAACATTTTTTAATTGAGAGAATTTACACTAAAGTTCAGATTTCCAGATAGAAGGCTATTTATCTGATCATTGATGTTCACACTCTATAGAACTGTGGCTAGACCTAGGCAATGGTGGCCCCTTCAAACGGGACATACACTCCACTATGACCACAGTCTCCTCTTCTCCAAATAATCTGCAGCCCTGAGTGTCTCTTGCCACTTACCCTCACACGTGTCCTGCCTTCCTCTCATTGGCACTTTGCCCCGTCTGTCTGGCCCAGGAAGGCATGTGAACTGAGACTCCACAGACCCCACTCTCGTGAAATTCACTCCTTCAAACCGGGTGACTCTGAACAGCAGTTTCTTCCTCTGGGACTGAGAAGCAAAATTACCTGCCTCCTTCAAACTTTTTATTCCAAAATACAAGATTCGCTGGCTGCCAGCCCCTTGTTGGTGCCTGAGACAACAGCGCGGGCAGCCAGGTATGTTCAGCCCTCACGGCCTCCCAGGGGAAGAGGATTCAATGGGTAACGCTCATTTCTATCAGACTTTGAAAAAAGTTTGGCATGAGTCAGGGGCATGAACAGCAGAGGAGCTGTAGGAGCAACAGGACAGCAAAGTTGATCAGTGTCTTAAACAGGTTAAAGAAAAAGAGAGATAGCTGGGCACAGTGGCCCACACCTGTAATCCCAGCGACTCAGGAGGCTGAGGGGGGAGGATCACAAGTTAGAGGCCAGCCTCAGCAACTCAGGGAGACCCTGTCTCAAAATGAAAAATAAAAAGGGCTGGGGAAGTGGCTCAGTGGTAGAGCACCCGTGGGTTCAATCCCAGTTCCCAAAAAGATAAGAGTGTGTGTGTGAGAGAGAGAGAGTGAAATCTAAATACAATAGTGCTACTATTAATAATTCACATTATTCCATGTATTTAAGCAAAGAATAACGAGTGCTCTGACACAGAAAGTGTTTACGTCAAAGGTGCAGGGAATTTTTTAATTAATTTGTACCAGGGATAGAACCCAGGAGGGCTTAACCACTGAGCCACACCCCCAGTCCTTTTATTTTTGATTTTGAGAGGTCTCATTTAGCTGCTTAGGGCCTTGCTAAATCACCGAGTCTGGCTTTGAACTCACAATCCTCCTGACTCAGCCTCCCGAGCTCCTGGGATGACAGATTGGGGCCACCAAGCCTGGCCAAGTGCAGGGAATTCGTTCTGCTTGGGAACTTCTTCTTGAAAAGACAGATGAGAAATCACAGATTATGGGCTGGGGCTATAGCTCAGTGGCAGAGCGCTTGCCTGGCATGTTTAAGGCACTGGGTTCAATCCTCAGCACCACATAAAAATAAAAAAAAAAAATAAAGGCATGGTATCCATCTATAAATACAAAAAAAAATAACTTTAAAAGAAATCAGAGATTATGTCAATAACTGCAGCTTTGCTCTTTAGCAACAAGGGGGTTAGAAAGGGACCCGGCTGGGACAGGACGGCTGAGGTCAGAGGCTGGTGCCAGAGGGGCGTCCCATCCACCAGCACCGCCGCCCAGCGTCACGGGGTTGGTTCCTGGCAGACGCCACGTGACGTCTTGGTGCGCTCACTCGGCACAACAGCTCTGTGGAAACTGGTGTTATTATCACTGACTTACAGACAGGAAAACGGAGGCCCCAGGGGTCTCGTGACTTGTCCCTAGTCACATAACTCAAGAGACAGGGAGCCAGGCCTCAACCTGTCTGTCTGTCTGTCTCAAAGTCTTGTGTTCCCCACCGACGAGAGGCTTCTACCTCTCCAGACCCCCATGGCTCTCTGGCTATAATATTTTCATAAAGACGTTTTAACTTGAGGGCTGGGGACCTGGCTCAGTAGGTAGAGAGCTTGCCTCATGTGCACGAGGCCCTGGGTTCAATCCCCAGCACCACACACACACAAAGCTGTAATTTGAAATATTTCTAGAATATAAAATTATGTAGGTAACAGAGAGAATGACTCTGCTCCTAGTGTCCTGCATAAGGTGGAGCCACATGAAACTGTCACAGATCAACCATGATTCAGTTGAAGACACCGCGTCTCTTTCCCTCACACCTTCAAGCTCACAGTCTTCCTGGGGTCTTTACCTGCCTCATTTTTTATTTATTTAATTTTTGGTACTGGGGATTGAGCCCAGGGGCGTGTAACCCCTGAGCCACATCCCCAGCCCTTTTTACTTTTTATTTTGAGACAGGGTCTCATTAAGTTGCTCATGGCCTTGCTAAGTTGCTGAGGCTGGCCTCAAACTTGTGATCCTCCTGCCTCAGCCTCCCCAGCCACTGAGATTACAGGCGTGCACTACTGCGCCTGGCCACATATCTTCCCTAAAGAAATGTCTACTCAAATAGACATTAAATTGGACTGTTCGTCTTTTTGGGGGGGCTGAGTTGTAGTTCTTTGTATATTCTGGACATTGAACAACACTTACCACATAGATGATTTGCAAATATTTCTTCCCATTTGTGGGTTTTCCTTTACAGTCTTAATTGTGACCTTTTGATACACCAAATTTTTGGTTTTTGTTGTGGTCCAATTTGCTTGCTTTTACTTTTCTTACCTGTGCTTTTGTTGTTATGTGCAACAATCATTGCCAAATCCACTGTCTCCCCTATTTTCTTCTAAAGGTTTTATAGGCTACTGGGGATTGAACCCAAAGCTACTTAACCACTGAGCCACATCCCCGTTTTATTTACTTATTCTGTATTTTATTTAGAGACAAGGTCTTGCTAAGTTGCTTAGAGCCTCACTAAGTTGCTGAGTCTGGCTTTGAACTTTTGATCCTCCTGCCTCAGCCTCCCAAGCTGCTGGGATGACAGGCATGAGCCACCGTGCTGGGACTCTATGATTCTTCTTCTTTTTATTGTTTGTGGTACTAGGGATTGAACTCAGGGGCACTCAACCACTGAGCCACATCCTTAGTCCTTTATATTTTTTATTTAGAGGCAGGGTCTTGCTAAGTCGCTTAGGTCCTTGCTAAGTTGCTGAGGCTGGCTTTGAACTCACAATCCTCCTGCCTCAGCCTCCCAAGCCACTGGGATTCCAGGTGTGCACCAATGAGATTTGACACCAGGATGAGTGAGGCGTCCAATTCAGGTCTCATTTTTCATTTGTTTGGCTACTGGTGTCCTTCCAGTGTCGGTATGAATTTTAGGATGGGTTTTCTAGTTTTGCAAAAAATAAAACATGGCTTTTTGGGAAATCATTGACTGAGGTGCTCTTCAGAGGAAAGGAGCCGGGAATGGATGGGGGGCAGAGAGGACAGGGAGCCGCTGGGCAAGGACGTGGCTTCTGTTGACATCTAGACTCAACCTGGGAGCCCTGGGTGGGAGCTGGGCACCGGGATTGGCGTGGGGGCTGGGCAGGGGGCTTCACAGGGTCAGCACCCGCTGGCCCCGTGCAGAAGGCTGACCCCCAGGCTGCGGGGGCTGCCCTCCGCCCAGGGCGATCCTCAGGCCAGATGGCGTGGGTAGCCACAGCAGTCCACAGCGGCAGCACTGGGGGAGGGGCCAGCCCCGCAGAGGGACTCTGCCCTGGGCACCACCTTATCTGCTGCAATCAGGTTCCCCCCAAGTTACTGCACCGATTAATTCCAAAGCACTCCGCAGAGGGAGGGGTGATTAATCGCTGACTTCCCCCCTCGAACTTCCTAGATAAAAGCTCTCATCTAGTCATGGAGCACGTGCCAAAAGCCAAGTCCTACCTGAGCCCTTTCTATAATCTCCTATTAACCTGACAACCAACCTATGGATTCCATACTATCGTGATACCCATTTTGCGGACAAGGAAAAAGATGCTCAGAGAGGTTAAGGCACCGGCCCTCGGCCACACAGCCTGCGGGAGCTGATTTCAGCCTGGGTGCCTCCGTTGGAGTCACGGATCCGGTGCCTCTCCCAGCATGTCTGGGGAAGGAGTGGACCCTCTCCTGAGCTGACCTGCAGGGGCAGCTTGCCAGACACGGGAATCAGGGGTACCGCTCAGTTCCAGCCAGGCTGACCGCAGTGGCTGCGCAGGGGTTCTGGAAGGGAGAGCCTGGGACCCCCGCGGGGCTGCTGCAGCAGATGGCCGCGCCCCACCCCCACAAGATCGGATTCCGGGCTGGGCTGGTCTAAGTCTCCAGATGTTGCCCATCTGGGAGCTGCTTCTGTGCATCAGGGCCCCCTCCCAGCCCCCCACTGGGGAGCAGTCACGGAGGGACCTGCCAAGGGACCCTGAGAAGCCACGCCCACGGGGCCGAGCTGGGCCCAGAGGACCGTCCCTGGGTCTGGAGCTTCATATCTTGCAGGGGAAGGAGATGAAGTACCTCAGGCCCGGCCTCTGCTTACAAGGCCCACCCGGCTCAGCACGTGCCCAGCCAGAGCCCCAAATGATGGGGTTTGTGTTAATTTGGGGGAGGGGATGCTGATGGACACAGAGGGGCGCCTATCATCTGG